TATTCATATGTTTATGTGTATACATGTATATACACATACATATATATGTGTGTGTATATATATATTGAAGCTGTGTGTTTCATATGTTTGTGTGTATATATGTATACAGAATGTATATATGTGTATATATGTATACATGCATCTGTTTGTGTGTATACATGTATACAGAATGGAACTGTGCACAAACTCTATTGAATTCTCCATCTGTACAATATTTAATTTAGCTATATATGGATACTGGTATTGCCTTTATCTCTGGTACAGAGATATTTAGGGCACAGTGCCATGCATCAATGCATACACTGCATTTAAATGTATTTATGGAGGCAGTATGTGCAAATATGTGCACGCTTCCCTATCGAGGCTTGCACCTGTTTCACGTTGTGCACATACATACGTGTCGTGTGCCTGCACTTTCCCAGTCAGCTCTCTTTCAACAAGGGAAATGGGATTTTCTGGGGTAGAAACGCCTGCCTTTGATCTTTCACCTTGGAGAGATGGAAATGCAAAACGAGTGAGTCTCGTGCTCGGATGTTTCAAAAATATTTTATTTTATTTTAATAGGTTTGGCCTGTTCAATTTATTTCCCTTAACGGCACCGTTCCTCCTTTCCCCACGTGAAATAAAATTCCTCAATCTCAATTTTAGTTTACGAATGAGAACGTAATTTTTGGAGAAGAGTAGAGAACCTATTATTATTATTATTATTATTATTATTATTATTATTATTATTAAATACGCACTGAGTCCCTTTTGGGAGATAAGCCGGAATACAAATAAAGTTTTATTATTACTATTAGATACACAATAAGAGTAGTACACGGCAAACAAGATCACTATGCCGGCTTTTGTAGTTGATCACACGTGGGACACTTCCACACAACCCTATATCCCAGAATATCAAGGCAGAAAATCCCACAATATCTGCTTTGAACTGAGTTACAGGAGTCCACACTCAGATAATGCGGATTTTCTGCCTTGATATTCTGGGATATAGGGCTGTGTGATGTATCAGATGCTTCCCAAGTGTCTAGGACTAATAATAATAATAATAATAATAATAATAATAATAATAATAATAATAATAATAATAATACAGAGCTGTGTGATGTATCAGACACTTACCAAGTGTCCAGGACTAATAATAATAATAATAATAATAATAATAATAATAATAATAATAATAATAATAATAATAATACAGGGCTGTGTAATATATCAGACACTTCCCAAGTGTCTAGGACTAATAATAATAATAATAATAATAATAATAATAATAATAATAATACAGGGCTGTGTGATATATCGGACACTTCCCAAGTGTCTAGGACTAATAATAATAATAATAATAATAATAATAATAATAATGATGTTCATGTATGCTGCCATGTCTGTGTATTATTATTATTATTATTATTATTATTATTATTATTATTATTATTATACTGTTGTTGTGTATCTAATAGTAATAATAATAGTAATAATAATATTACAAACACAGACATGGTAGCATACACAAACTTAATAATAATACAAAGTCATTATAAAACATATAAACATATTATATAAAACATTATATAAACATATAATAATAATAATAATAATAATAATGTTTATGTATGCTACCATGTCTGTGTGTATTATTATTATTATTATTATTATTATTATTATTATTATTATTATGTTTGTGTTTATATTTATGTATGCTACCATGATTATGCATTATTATTATGCTACCATGGCTGTGTTTGTATTATTATTACTATTAGATACACAACAAGAGTAGTACACAGCAACCAAGATCACTACACAGCAACCAAGCTTTTGTATTTAATCACACATTGGACACTTCCCAAATGTCTAGGACTGTGTGATGTATTGGAAAATAATAATAATAATAATAATAATAATAATAATAATAATAATGTTTGTGTATGTTACAATGTCTGTGTATTATTATTATTATTATTATTATTATTATTATTATATGTTTATATATGCTACCATGACTGTGTATTATTATTATTAAGTTTTTGTATGCTACCATGTCTGCATTTCTATTATTATTATTATTACTGTTAGATACACAACAAGATTAGTACACAGCAAACAAGATCATTATTATGTCTAGGATTGTGTCATGTATCGATGAATAATAATAATAATTATCATTATTATTATAGCCCAATTTGATCTCAATTGTTTATTATTATTATTATTATTATTTATTATATGTTTATGTATGCTACCGTGACTGTGTATTATTATTATTATTATTATTATTATTATTATTATAGCCCATTTTGATTTCAACTGTTGTTGTTGTTGTTGTTGTTATTATTATTATTATTATTATTATTATTATTATATGTTTATGTATGCTATCATGACCGTGTATTATTATTATTATTATTATTATTATTATTATTATTATTATTATTATTATTCTGTTTGTGTATGCTACCATGTCTCTGTTTGTATTATTAATATTATTATCACTTGATACATCACAAGATTAATACACAGCAAGCAAGGTCACTATGCTGGCTTTTGTATTTGATTACACATTGGACACTTCCCAAGTGTCGAGGACTGTGTGATGTATCGGCGAATAAGTATTATTATTATTATTATTATTATTATTATATCCCACTTTTTATCTCAATTGAACTCTCAGACTTATTTTATGAATGAGTACCTAATTAAATATAATATTTTTAGCCAGAGAAGGGGGTAGAACCTTTAGTTTATTATTATTATTATGCTTATAAACAACAACAACAACAATAATAATATGACCTCACAACCTCTGAGGATGCCTGCCCTAGATGCAGGTGAAACGTCAGGAGAGAATGCTTCTGGAACATGGCCATACAGCCCGGAAAATTCACAGCAACTCAGTGATTCCAGCCATGAAACCCTTCAACAATACAACAATAATATATTTATTGTCTGCTGTGGACTCATCTTGTTGTGTTTCTAATAATAATAATAATAATAATAATAATAATAATAATAATAATAATAATAGTAATAATGGATTGTTGTGAGTTTTCCAGGCTGTATGGCCATGTCCCAGAAGCATTCTCTCCTGACGTTTTGCCTGCATCTACGGCAGGCACCCTCAGAGGTTGTGAGGTCTAAAATAAACATAATAATAATCCATAATATTTATGATTATATTTATTTATATCCCACCCAAAGCCTATATTAGCCATTCTTAATTTTGATGCAAGGTTAAGATTTGACCCGATTCATCAAAGATAGAACGATGCTTGTGCTTTTCCATAGGATGGCTGTGTTTGATGCAGTTCAATAGGCCTTTTAAATCCTTTTGTTAGTTGTGACAACGTCAATTTAGTGGTGTTTTTTCCCCTTTCTTTCCTGTAGCCTCTTTGAGTCTCTCGCTTGAGAGAGAAAGGCCCGAATCTACATTGGATTGTATCACACTGGGTCATATAATGCAGTTTGAAACGGTGTTATATGCAGTGCAGATGAATTTGAATGATAATAATATATGTGGTTATTTTTAATGCTATTTATATGTATGTAATTTGTGGTTTATGCAATGTGTGGATTGTTAGTTGCAGTTTCTCAAGTTATTTTATATGTCGGGTTTGGAGGGAATGATGGTTGTCTATATTATGTAGTTTATGTTTTTTCTATTTTGTTTGCCATTTCGAGTCCCATTCATGGGAGAAAAGCAGGATAGCAGTGGGGTAATAATAATAATAATAATAATAATAATAATAATAATAATAATAATAATGCAAAGAAGGCGGTCCCAGTGGTGATCGGCACACTGGGTGTAGCATCTAAAGACCTTGGCCTGCACTTAAAGACAAAATTACCATTTTTCATAGAATCATAGAATCATAGAATCAAAGAGTTGAAAGAGACCTCATGGGCCATCCAGTCCAACCCCCTGCCAAGAAGCAGGAATATTGCATTCAAATCACCCTTGACAGATGGCCATCCAGCTGCAAAAGGCCACCCTACTGGGATCTGCATGAATTATTCGCCAATACATCACACAGTCCTAGAAACTTAGGAAGTGTGCGACGTGTGATCCAATTTAACAACCAGCATAGTATTTGCTGTGTACTAATCTTATTGTGTTTCTAATAATAATAATAATAATAATAATAATAATAATAATAAAAACAGCCAGCAGAGCGATCTTGTCTGCTGTGGACTCATCTTGTTGTGTTTCAAATAATAATAATAATGGGTTGTCACTACCTCTGAGGATGCTTGCCATAGATGCAGGCGAAACGTCAGGAGAGAATGCCTCTAGACCATGGCCATATAGCCCGAAAAAACCTCTGAGGATGCTTGCCATAGATGCAGGCGAAACGTCAGGAGAGAATGCCTCTAGACCATGGCCATACAGCCCAAAAAAACCTCTGAGGATGCTTGCCATAGGTGCAGGCGAAACGTCAGGAGAGAATGCCTCTAGACCATGGCCATACAGCCCGAAAAAACCTACAACAACCCAATGATTCCGGCCATGAAAGCCTTCGACAATACAATAATAATAATAATAATAATAATAATAATAATAATAATAATAATAATGGATTGTTGTGAGTTTTCCGGGCTGTATGGCCATGTTCCTGAAGCATTCTCTCCTGACATTTCACCTGCATTTATGGAAGGCATCGTTAGAGGTTGTGAGGTCTGTTGGAAACTAGGAAAATGAGTTTTATATATCTGTGGAATTTGGGAGAAAGGACTCTGGGCCCAGTCTGTGTATATGTGTTTTGTGTGTGTATATATTTGTGTATGTATGTGGTTTGCGCATGTGTTGTAATGTATTTTTATTTTTTGGCTTTTTAAGTCTCTTCCGCTGTGTTTTTCAGTGTTTTTATGAGTGATGGTCACTCGTTGGCCGGAGAGGTGTATTGTGTCCAAATTTGGTTTTTAATGTGTCATGGTGTTATTGTTACTGTTTATTGCTTTGTTTATGAGTTTATTTATTGTCTGTATTGTTGTTGTTGCTTTTTTACTGATGTATTTGGGCTCGGCCTCTTGTAAGCCGCACCGAGTCCTTCGGGAGATGCTAGCGGGGTATAAATAAAGGTTTATTATTATTATTATTATTATTATTATTTGGCGTCAATTCGCACAGTGGTTTTTGAGTTATGTCACTCCCACAAACGAACATTACATTTTTATTTATATAGATTCCACAGATATATAAATCCCATTTTCCTAGTTTCCAACAGACCTCATCACCTCTGTCATAGATGTGGTGGAAACGTCAGGAGAGAATGCTTCTAGAACATGGCCATGCAGCCTGGAAAACTCACAGCAACCCAGTGATTCTGGCCATAAAAGCCTTCAACAATACAATAATAATTGGGTAGTTTAAGTTTTTTTCGGGCTGTATGGCCATGGTCTAGAGGCATTCTCTCCTGACGTTTCTCCTGCACTTTGGCAAGCATCCTCAGAGGTAGTGCAGGCGAAACGTCAGGAGAGAAGGCCTCTAGACCATGGCCATACAGCCTGAAAAAACCTACAACAACCCAGTGATTCCGGCCATGAAAGCCTTCGACAATACAATAATAATTGATCGATAATTATTATATATTAATAATTATCAATTAAAAATTAATAATTATTAATAAATAATAATTATGAAGTTTTTCTCCATCCAAAGTTAATTCTAATGTTGCAAAAATCAGCTTACTTTAGAAAAAAAAATCCTCTGGTTATAGTTTTTTTATTTTTTTAATGTTGATCTGAAGTTTGCTCGCTTTGCTTTCATCTCCTGCTCCTTAAGGAGATGGATGGCTGACCTTTGAGCTTGACCTTGCGTGCGTCTTCCTTTCATCTCGTTTTCTCCCCTTCTTTCTACTCTTCCTCTCCCAGGTCCACGAAACCCAAGGGTCTGAATCCTCTCCTGCGGCCAGCTCTGGCTACGAATCCTCCACTCCTCCGGCCATTTCGGCCGCCCCGATGAGCAAAGACTCGGCCACCAAACCTCCCTCCTCTTCACTTCCTCCATCCTCATCCTCCTCCTCCGTCCAGACTGCCAACCCCGGCCTCAACCCTGGGATCCCCCCTAATTTTAACGAATGGTACGTTTGAAGAAAGAAACCCAACTAAACAAAGAGACAAACCCTTAAATCCTACTCTCCTCCCCCCAAAAAAGTCTCTTTTTCTCAAAGCAAGTGACCCGTAGAGAACCGAGAGGATTTCCTGGCCACTCCGCAGGACACCGCATTGATCCCTTGGCCTCACGATTGGAGTTTACAGGACACACAAAAAATAATCCAGGAGGAAGAGACCCAGAATATAAGAAAACGGAGTGTTTTGATGTGTGTGTTGGAGGGGGAGATTGGCTTTTTGTTTTCCCCTTACCCAAGAGCCAGCAGCTGGACTTTTATCATGTCTATTTTTCTCAGGATTAGCGATTTCTTAATATTTTATTTCAATTTATTTTTTTTGGCATTGAGAGTTATTCCTCGTCCGAGAACGGATTCGCCGTCTCGTTCTCTCCCCCCCTCTTTTATTTTTCTTTTCCCACATTCTTCTCTTCCGTCGTTGGACTTCAGCGGATATTTCACACCTCTTTTTTAGTGGGACGTTCAGAGAGAAAGAACAGACTTTTGTCCCTTGGCCTTAGTTGTGATTGTTAAAAAAAATACATAGAAAAAATGGAGAAAAAAAACAGTCTTAAAACTTGCCAAAGTCCTGTATTGTCTTGAAGTCTTTCTTTTCCTTCCTTCCTTCCTTTCTACCTTCTCCCTCCCTTCTTTCTTTCCTTCCCTCCTTCCCTCTCTTCCTTCCTTCACTGCTTTCTTGCTTCCTTCCTTCCTTCTTTTTCTCCCTTTCTTTCTTGCTTCTTTCTTTGCCTCCCTTCTTCCTCTTTCTTTCTTTCTTTTTCTCCTTCCCTCTCTTCCTCCTTCTTTCATGCTCTCTTAAAAACAAACATTACATTTTTCTCCTTCCTTCCTTCCTTCCTTCCTTCCTTCCTTCCTTCCTTCCTTCCTTCCTTCCTTCCTTCCTTCCTTCTCTCTCCTCCTCTTTCTTCTCTTTCTTCTTTTTCTTTCTTTCTTTTCTTCTTTCTCTCTTTCTTTTTTTTTTCCCCTTCTTTTTCTCCTCCTCTTTTTTTTCCTCCATCCCTCCCTGTGGTTATAGCTTCCATCCCCTCCTTTTTTTTCCTCCCTCCCTCCCTTTCTTTTTCTCTCTCCCTCCCCTCCTTTTTTTCTTTCTTGCTTCCTTTCTCTTTCCTTCCTTTCTTCCTCTTTTTCTCTCTCCCTCCCCTCCTTTTTTCTTTCTTCTTTCTTCTTTCTTTCTTCTTCTTTCTTTTTCCTTTCCTCCTTCTTCTCTTCCTTCCTTCCTTCCTTTCTCTTTCTCTCTCTCTCCTTTTCCTTTCTTTCTTTTTCTCTCTTCCCTCCTCTTTCCTTCCTTCCTTCTTCCTTCCTTCCTTCTCCTCTTCCTTCCTTCTTCCTCTCCTTCCTTCCTCTTTTCCTTCCCTCCCTCCTTTTCTTTCTTCCTTCTTTCTTTTTCCTCTCCTCTCTTCCTTCCTTCCTTTTCTTCTTTTTCTCTTCCTCCCCCCTTCTTTCTTTCTTTCTTTCTTCTTCTTCTTCTTGCTTCCTTTCTTTTTTCCCTCCCTCCTCCTCTTTTCTTGCTTCCTTTCTTTTCCTCCCTTCCTCCTCTTTCTTTCTTCTTCTTTCTTTCTTTCTTTCTTTCTTTCTTTCTTTCTTTCTTTCTTTCTCTCCCTCCTTCCCTCCCTCCTTCTTTCACACTCTCTTAAAAACAAACATTACATTTTGTGAATGTATTTTGTCTGATCGGGGAACGTCATTCAATATATATTTTGAAGGGTGGCGGGATGGGAGGAAATGCTGTCTTCATTTTGTCCAGCTCCTGGCCATTTCAGTCTAAAAAACAAAGCAAAAACAGTTGCCTTTTCGTAATAAATAACTTTAATTTTCCTTTTCCTTTTGTAAATACATATCCATGATGCCATATTTATCATTTGTAATTTAATTATTGACGAAACAAGTGCCGGGAACTGAACAATATTTATGGAGAGAGAGAGAAAAGGAAAAAAAAGAACGAAACCCGCAAAAAACAAAACAAAAAAGGAAGAAGTTTTTTTTTTGTTTTCTAACAAAAAGAAAAGAAAAGAAAATTCAGACAAACTCTGTACAGCTTTTGGTTATATAACTGCTTTAGCATTAAAAGTTTATTGTTTTGGAAAGAATACAGGAGAGCTAATTTTATTTTCCTTTGCCAAGATTGTTCGTTCTCTCTTTTTTTTGGAGTTCTTTCGGTCTCGTTTTGGACCGCTTTCAATCTCACATCACACACGCACATACATATCCCCAGAACTATCTTATTGCTCCCAATCCATTCAAACACACACACACACACACAACATGCAGAAAACCTTCCGATTTCTTAGAAACCTTTCAGTTTTGTCCGGTTTTGGATCCTCCATGCTCAATGCGTAAGCTCGAAAAGAAGGGAGAAGACCTTTAACCTTGACAGACATCTGCTACACGCATCCAAAAGGTAACCTTCTTTTGCTTTTTGAAAGTGGCTTTGGTTACAGCTGAATCAATTAAATGTCTATTTTTACCTTGATTATCCTAAACAAGATTAATTGGCTTTAAGTTGCCTTTGTTTGAGTGGTATTTGTTCCACCTAAAAGTGTAGACTCGTTGCACTCTAATAACTTAGTGTGGAGGCTCCTTCTTTGGAAGCTTATAAACAAAGGCTGGATGGCCATCTGTCAGGGGTGATTTGAATGCAGTATTCCTGCTTCTTGGTAGGGGGTTGGACTGGATGGCCCATGAGGTCTCTTCCAACTCTTTGATTCTATGATTCTATGAATGTGAAATGTGTGGAATATAAAATCTATCTATCCATCCATACTTCTTTCCATCTATCTATCTATCTATCCATCCATTTTTCTGTCTATCCACTTATTCATTGTAGTCTGGGATGTAACATTATCTTATCATCACTGTATCATAGTTTGGAATGTGAAATTTAAATATTATTTCTATCAATTGTTCTATCTCTATCATCTATCTACCTTATCTATCATCTATCTCTCTACCTCTCTATCTATCTATCTATCTATCTATCTATCTATCTATCTATCTATCTCTATCCATCCATCCATCCACTTATTCATTGTATTCTGGAATGTAACATTATCTTATTACCAATGTATCATAGTTTGGAATGTGAAATTTAAATATTATTTCTATCAATTTTTCTCTCTGTACCATCTATCTACCATACCTATCTATCTAGCTATCGATCGATCCATCTATATATCGTTCCATCTATCTCTCTATCCACTGATTCATCATAGTCTGGAATGTAACATTATCTTATCATCAATGTATCATAGTTTGGAATGTGAAATTTAAATATTCTTTCTATCAGTTGATCTATCTATCTATCCATCCATCCATCCATCCATCCATCCATCCATCCATCCATCTGTCTATCCACTCATTCATCATAGTCTGGAATGTAACATTATCTTATCATCAGTCTATTATACTTTGGAATGTGAAATTTAAATATTATTTTTATCAATTGTCCTCTCTCTATCATCTATCTGCTCTATCTATCTATCTATCTATCTATCTATCTATCTATCTATCCATTTATCTGTCTATCCACTCATTCATTGTAGTCTGGAATGTAACATTATCTTATCACCAATGTATCATAGTTTGGAATGTGAAATTTAAATATTATTTCTATCTATTGTTCTCTCTCTATCATCTATCTACCTTATCTACCCTATCTATCTATCTATCTATCTATCTATCTATCTATCTATCTATCTATCTATCCATCTATCTGTCTATCTATCCACTCATTCATTGTAGTCTGGAATGTAACATTGTCTTATCACCAATGTATCATAGTTTGGAATGTGAAATTTAAATATTATTTCTATCAATTGTTCTCTCTCTATCATCTATCTACCTTATCTACCTTACCTACCTTATGTATCGATCTATCGATCCATCCATCCATCCATCCGTCTGTCCACTCATTCATCGTAGTCTGGAATGTAACATTATCTTATCATCAATGTATCATAGTTTGGAATGTGAAATTTAAATATTATTTCTATCAATTGTTCTCTCTGTATCATCTATCTACCTTATCTATCTATCTGTCGATCCATCTATCTGTCTATCCACTCATTCATCGTAGTCTGGAATATAACATTATCTTATCATCAATGTATCATAGTTTGGAATGTGAAATTTAAATATTCTTTCTATCAATTGTCCTCTCTCTATCATCTATCTATCTATCGATCGATTGATCGATTGATCCATTTATCTGTCTATCCATCCATTCATCATAGTCTGGAATGTAACATTATCTTATCACCAATGTATTATAGTTTGAAATGTGAAATTTAAATATTATTTCTATCAATTGTTCTCTCTCTATCATCTGTCTACCCTATCTATCTATCTATCTATCTATCTATCTATCTATCTATCTATTGATCCATCTATCTGTCTATCCACTCATTCATTGTAGTCTGGAATGTAACATTATCTTATCATCAATGTATCATACTTTGGAATGTGAAATTTACATATTCTTTCTATCAATTGATCTATCTATAGATCGATCCATCCATCTATCTGTCCACTCATTCATCGTAGTCTGGAATGTAACATTATCTTATCATCAATGTATCATAGTTTGGAATATGAAATTTAAATATTCTTTCTATCAGTTGATCTATCTCTACAATCTATTTAGCGTATGTATCCATCCACTCATTCATTGTAGTCTGGAATGTAACATTACCTTATTATCAATCTATCATACTTTGGAATGTGAAATTTTAATATTCTTTACACCATTAAGCTGTATCACTGGCATTGGAGAGGGGTTGGCTGCTGTCTGCTGGAACAGCACCTTGGTTTTTTCAATGTTCAATGACAGGCTGAGCTTCTTGTATGCTTCTGCGAAGGTGTTTAGAGTGGCTTGTAGATCTTCTTCTGAATGCGCACAGACGACGTTGTCATCAGCATACTGGAGTTCTATAACAGATGTTGTTGTATGCATGATACGGTATGTACAGCTGTGTCTCCCTAAAATGAATGTTGTTTGATAGAGCCAGCTTTGGAAACACCCTTCCATGGCAGGTGGGTTTGAAAAAGTGACAACCAGTGACCAGTTGTTGTTTTCTATGTTCTTGTTGCTGTTTGTTGTATGCAAAGTGATACGGATATTTAAATATGCTTGGGAGAAGAGAGATTTGTAGACGTTGACCTTTCCTATTTGCCAGAAATAATACATTTGACATTGATCAAGACTGAGGGCCCTTGAGTGAAGGAAATACAATCCTACCAGCTGTTAGGAATTGTGGAAGTTGAAGTTTGAAAAGGGCCGAAGTTCACCCATGCCTGTTTTAACCCCTTCCCTGGTCAGATATCCCCATTTTAAAGAACTATGGTTCACTTTGGCCATCTTCTGCAAACTGGAACACAAAGCAATGTTTTGAACTGAGATGGCCCAAGGGAAGGCAGTCCTTCTCTCTTCTTCCTCCCTTGAGCCTTTCAATAAAATACATTTCAGGATGGGCAACATTTCCAGGTTGGTCTCCACCAAGAAATTCAAAATCAGGCCCAATTTGAACCGCCTATTGTGCCACTTTTGGGAAGGAAGAAGGGGATTTCTTTTGGG